TATGTTTTGGATTCAGTCACTGTGAACGGATGTGTGTACATAAGGTCTAGCACGTGTTATGTTTTTAGCAGCCTGCAAACACTTGTAGCTGGAAAATAATGCCTTCCAGCATTTGCATGAGAGCTAGATGTACTAAACAAGAATTTGCAGCTTTTGCCTGGGCATTTTTCACATTAATACCCATTTTTAAATATTGCAAAGTAGGGGAGATCAGTACAGAGGTATTTGGACTCCCATGGAAATTTGGGCAGAATTTGAGTGGTGCCCTGTGAACTACAAGGGGAATGCTTCAGAACCAGGACTAGGGTTAAGCTCACTTGAGTGTTATTTGAAGCACCCTATCCCACTTCCTCACTCCACAGAAAGCCCAGTCCCTGTCTTGTGACATTCAAATGCTTTGGTTATGCAGCTCCTAAAGCAGTTCTGCTTCTCCCATGCCAGTGATGCCATTAGGCACACTGTGCCGACTAGGTTTTTATAACTAGAGAGAATTAAAAATAAAACTTTCCAGGAATTTCAACTGTTTAACAGCAGCAGCACCATGCTATTGCTAACAGGGACCCCACTGCTCTTCCTGGGCAAGCACCAAGAGCTGATATATTTTCATATATATCAGTTTTATATAATATATATATATTATATATACCTTCTGCATATTAAGGGAATTCTGAAGGGAAGAGTTATACAAAAGGCAAACAATTCTTGTGACATAGCAGTGTTTGGGCAGATGAACAGAGCAGACCTGTGCCAGAGTAGCACTCTGTTTCTGTATAAGAAGCATCAGGAAGATGAAACTAAGTTGATGCCAAGAAAGCATGGAAACTGTAAAAACAGAGATGCCTATCAAAGTGGTTTTGTAAGCTATCCTTACTCCCTGCCCCAGGCCCCCGGCCAGACCTTGTCCTGACAGAGCACACAGCTCTCAGCACTCTCTGCTTTTATTTCTGAACTCAGCTGGTTAGAGGAGGCTGAGACGGCACACGCTCTGTTTATCCAGAGCTGGAAATAACACCGTGGGTCTAGCTTTTAGCAGTTCTCTTTGAAGTGCACACAGCTTTATAGATAGTTCTAATAGACTGTTTCCACCGAGCGTGCAACCGACAGATTCAGGTGGGGTGGGAGCTGTGGAACACACCAAAATCACTCAGCCTCCCACTAACCAGAACAGAGCTTTTAAGTGAGAATATTTGCCTCTCATTACAACTGATGCACAGAGCTGGACCACCGTGCTGAAAGAGATGAAATGAAGCTTTAAAAGGACGGACAAAGTGAGAGCTGCCTAGGCAGGACTAACTCACGTGGAAATGGCTTTCTAGAACAGAGGAACACAATAGATCTTGTTCACACAATAGATCTTGTTCACACAATAGATCTTGTTCACACAATAGATCTTGTTCACACAATAGATCTTGTTCACACAATAGAAATTAACAGCTAAACGTTAACCTTACCAGTCCTTGCAGAGAGACATTTTAAATAAGTTACATACAGGGATTCTTCAAAGCACAGAATTATGACTCAGGAGAAGGAAGGGAATCACACATACACAAAAAATTGGTCTCTGTGGATAAGTTGGAAAGTGGAGTGAATAGGCACAAAGACTAAGAAATACGCTCTGAGGTTTTAGGTCAGAACACTTATTCTGCACCTGAAGAGACTTGCACACACCACAGCTCTGATTCAATTTACTGTGGGTTATGAAGGCATTGGCTGGAACATCCTACAGGGCATATTTTTATGACCTACCTTAGCTTTGAAGCACCTGCTGTTATTTCACATAGAAGTAAGATAAATTCATCAATGTTGCTTCTTTCCCTTTAACACAGGCTTTAGGATAGAAACATTCCATTGAAGCAAGTGAGAAATCTTTGCTTTCCAAAACATCCTGAACCCATCCTTACCACAAGCTTTCCCATAGCACATCCACCAAACTAAACCATACCCATTCCAACACCTACATGTTACATATATATATATGTATATATATACATATATATATATAATGAGCCCAGTACTGTACTTGACACTGAAGCACTTCAGCATCATCCAGCAGCACAGAAATATCATGACCAGCATCTGTTTTATACCTTTTTTCCCTTTTCCCATCTCCACCCAGGGGAAAAGCCCAGGTAAGAAAGCTTTATATGAAAAGCATTTGATCATACTCTAATACATATTGTAGAAACAGTGTGCAGTATGAAGTGCACGTACTGCCTTGCTTGACAAGCTTGATTTCAGAAAAATAAGACAAGCTACATATATCAGAGTTTCAGTGCAAATTAGAGCAGCTTCATTCATTTCACTTCTGATGTTCTCAAAGGTCACAGAGAAAGCCTTGGGGGAGTTGCACTCATCCATCTGGCAGAGCACAGCCTGTGTAAACAGAACAGCAGAGACAACAAATGTCAGCCTCTTTTTCTTTCCAGACCAGCTTCATGCAGATCTGAAACCACTCACTTGTTTCAAACTAGCTTTTCCTGCCATTTTCAAAGGAGATCCGACATTTCTAGGGAATACTTGACTTCCTTTCCAAGCATCCATCAGGTCAAAATCTGAACTCGCAACAGTGCTGGTTGTTAGTGATGGACAGTGTGAGGTTACAGTTAGCAACTGGCAGGAAGAATATTTTTTCCTGCTGTTCCCCTCCGCTGTATAAAAATAAAAATGTACACTCTGATAAGCATGCAAGTACAAATATCACTGTGACAGAGGTTACTGCCTCATTAACTACTTGTAGTTAACGCAGCAATTAATGGATTATTCCCACAACATCAGTTATTGCAATAAATCACTAATCAGAGTGAATAATTTTACAGTAACTTGCTCCTTGTTTTGTTTTGGGGTTTTTTTTCCCCCAAAATCCATGCAAGACTGTACCAAACTCTGGAGAAACCACCAATAAAACTTTAGAGCAACAGGTTAGACCTTAAGAGCATCACTAAATTTTTCTTATATGTGTACTACATCAACTACTTAGGTACATACAGTTATGCTGGAGTGAGCATCATCTGTCTTTTGAATGTAACACAAATAAACCAGTAGAGAATTTAAAACTATCTATCATTTGGTGAAAAATATATCTCAATTAGAAGGGCAAGGCATTAAGAGACAGACTTACACAGCCTCAAGTCATGGCAAATACTGCTTCTGCCCTTGAGGGACAATTATTGTTAGAGTCAACTTAACATTTTCTGTTTCCAAAGCCATTTATGCCTCAGCTTTCAGGATCAGTAACAGGATTCCTCTAGAGGCACTCAATCAACCAGTGGAAATGAATCATGCTGCCTCTAAAAAGTGCTGGTTTTAAATTCTTGACCTGGTTTAATACTGAATGCACTCAAATATTGCACTTATGCAAACTTTGTAAGCCACTATGAATTATCATAAGTGGAGGTATGTTTTTGCTAAATAAAGAATTTATTGCATTGCTACCTATGAGCAGTACAATACTAGCATTTTCATCAGTTTTTCACCATAACTCCTTTCAATCAAGCATTCAACATTTAATGGCCCCACTGGATTTAAAACCATTCTTGTTTATTTCCAGAAAGGGAACATAATTAACCAAAGTTGAGTAACAAACACACAGTTTAAATAAGGTTTATCCTAATTTTGCTTTACAGAGAAGAGACACCTGATTTTGCAGAGAAATGCCATGTTCAGGTGTGCCACTATATTGGCTACCATAATTCAAAACTACTTTCGTGTCCTTGTGAGATCCTACCTGGAATACTACAGCCAGGTCCGGGGTCCTCAGCACAAGAAAGACAGGGACCTGTTGGAGCAGGTTCAGAGGAGGTCACGAAGATGATCAGAGGGCTGCAGCCCTTCTCCTACGAAAACAGGGTGAGAGAGCTGGGGTTGTTCAGCCTGCAGAAGGCTCCAGGACTTATAAAAAAAGAGGAAGAGAGACCTTTTACGTAGGCAGATAGTGATAGGACAAGAGGGAATGGAGGTATATAGATTGGATGTTAGGAATACATTTTTTTTCTATGAGGGTGGTGAGACACTGGCACAGGTCTCCCAGAGTGGTTGAGGATGCCCCACCCCTGAAAGTGTTCAAGGACAGGTTGGATGGGGCTCTGAGCAACCTGGTCTAGTGAAAAGTGTCCCTGACTAAAACAGAGATGAAACTAGGTGATCTTTAAGATCCCTTCCAACCCAAACCATTCTATGATTCTATGACTTAACCCACCAGTCTATCCAAGCTTTCAAGTTTGTCTTAATGGGCAGTGCTCTACCATTGTCCAGTACTAGACACCAGCTTTGCAAAGTTTACTTTATCACAACTGAGGAAGTTTCAGGCATCCTCAAAACTACTTCCACGAGCCCTAACTTTTTGCTGGAACAAATCTTTTTCAGATATCTTTAGAAATCCTAACTGTGACTGACACATGCCCATGGAATCTCAGAACTTGATACAGCTTCTCAAAAGTCAGTTCTTCAAAACTTCGTCTTTACATTTAAGTAAGTAATTAAAAAAAAACATTAAAAAAAAGTAAACTTTTTGTTTGGAAGACAGCTACAGATACATCCTGAAAAAATTATTTCAGGGAATGACCAAAGGCTGAATATGAATTTGATATTTGCATCTTTTAAGAAGGCTTAAACTAGGCATCATTTACAATTTCTTGCACAACTCTGGGACAGCTTCTTTATTAAGAATTGCAGCTCTATTTCTCTCCTTCTGTTAGCTACACCTAGAGAACAAAGAATCCTCCAAGTAGGAATTTGGGAATAGCTAGCTCAAGCCCATGTGTCCTAAAGGGAATATCCAAAATAAAGATATTATTTAAGTCAACTATGAACCTAAGCTCCCAGTAGAAGTACACACCAGGCAGTTAGTCCAATCCCCAAAGCACTCCTAGGGCTATGTTTGAAACCAGGAATGAATTAAGATCACATCTTCTGACTCTAGCCTACTGCTCATAATCCAACCATTCAAATGAAGTCAACTTTCCAAGAAACATTCTGAACTCAGAACTCACACAGAATTGTGGTATACAAAAGACATTAAATATTTATTACATTGCAGCAGCGTTACACGGGAAAGTTAAAAAATTTAAAATATCCAAATTTTGGACATGATTTTTCTCCATGACAGTTGGTCAGTGGGTCCCTGGGATATCTGTAGGCACCTTTAGGAGTTCTTCAACTTCTTCTTGTAAAGCCTCAGCTTTTTCACTCAGCAGCATCTACAGTGACAAAAACAAACAAAAAAAATTAGAAAACAAATACAAGCATTAGATGTAATTGTTAGGTTAAAACACCAATGTTTCTTTCCAAAATTGCACCTGGTCTGTGAAAGACCTCTGCTGCTGCTCACAGGACCACAGTGATCACAGGACCTTTGCCTCAAAGGACTAACTTGTGCACAAGTACCACTACCAACATGTCTTAGTGATTAGTGTACACCCATATAAAAAGCAGTCACATAAAAATTCATACAGTACACAGCTGTTTTTCTCAATTCTGCCACAGTACATAAAATTTACAGAACTAAACAGTTTTGTCTGTAACTATTAAGGATCATTTTTAACCTTAAACATTTATATTCCACATTGGAATAAACACTTTTAAGTTGTGCCTGACAAGTTGCCAATTTCTTGCTTTATACGAAATTTCTTACTACAGCATTTTACACCAGAGGAGTCCCAGTATCAGCAACTGAGCTGTTTGTTGCTGGCAGCTGGGGAAGAACAGGCCTCCATGCAAGCACTCTTCTAACTTCCCAGTTAGAGAAAACTCCATTAATTTAGTATCTGAGCATGAGTGTAAGCTAGATTGTTGGATTTGACATTGATGTGGATGAGGAATCTGCATATATTCCTCTCTTCTGGCTCACAAAGCAGCATAAGAAAAAAAAGAGCAGCAGGAAGCCTACAACAACATTAAACAAATGTGACCTTTCAAGTGCATAAACCTCAAAGTTAGTATGTTTACTCCACGAGAACATACAAACCAAGACTTCGTTACTGACCGTCTCAATTTTACACCAACCCCCCATTCATTCATTCTAGACATTTCCTTACTTCACCAAAATCCTGTTCTTTCAGCAGAATCCAACATGAAGCCAATACCATTGTAGCAGCAGATGATTAATGGAGACAGAGGAGAGAAAATGCTACCATTGATAAATAAAGTACTTCCTGTATATTTTTTGTTTAGACAAAACTCAGTGTTTGTTACAGAACCTTTCCCTTTGTTTATTTATGTGTGCCAAAGGCAATAAGGGTACCTTAGAGGCAGATATTAAGTGAAGGCTCTTCTCGTGATGCCTATTCAAAATGGAAAAAGAAGGAAAGAATAACAGGGCATGACAAAAGCAACTACATAGGTGAGGTTAACCCTATGCCTTGTTGGTTTACATTTCTAGAATCCTGAAAATACTGTTCTGTTGCCACAACTACCACTAGAATTTCTGTAAGGTAAGTCCTGAGATATTGGCAGAATCAAGCATTTCCACTTACAACAACTCAGCAGGGAGACCAGTGTAGTCATTTAGTTCCTGTATTTTATCAGATAAGCCATCAAACATTTTTTCCTTTTGCTTCCCCTCTGAAAAGGAGCACAACTTGGAACTATCCTGTATGTAACAGGTTGTTCTTACTACAGATCAGTATTTGGATCACAAATATCCACTAATTAGTAAACTGAATCCTTCATTTTTAATGTCATTCAAACATCCACTTTTGACATGCTGGCGTTCTGAAGCAGGTTTTTTAGAAACTTTGTTTTTAACTTACCTTTGCAGATGAAACAATTTGTTTGGCTTGACGTCGTGACAAGTGCTCAATCATCTTTATCAGAGTTTCTGGATTTGCATTAGCCAAGTGTGCTAAAGTTTTGTATCCTGCATTATAAAGCTGTTTTGCTCTTGCCTGAAAGTACAGAATTGTGTTAGATTATTAGAACAGGTAGTAAGAATTACTGGTAAGTGCCAGTCTCTGCACCAACCTCAAATATTTTATTCTGTGTATCAATCCAATTCTCTGTTCCCTAATATAAATATTCACTGAGAACTTACTCCTCAAAAGCACAGCTTTTTACCACTAAAATCTACCTCCCCCAACAATTTCACCCAGCTCTTAGGAACCCTTTATTTTCTGAGCCTAGATGATACTGACTCTGCCATGTTCTTTTGTTATCAGGGTTTCTGCATTCACTGTCACTGGCACCAACAACTGTCTCACATTCTTTGGAGGTGTCTAAGTGAAAGGAGGGCTGATTACAGAGAGAGCTTTCACAAAATTCCAGAAGAGGTTACACTTTCTGTTTCAAGCTTATAAATAATTTTTCCTTTAGCATCACAGTATCTTTTTTATTTCTCCAATTTTGTGCGAAGTCACGGCTGTGAATCCACATATACAGGAGAGATGCACATCACAGGAGTAATTCTCTGGAATGTGATTATCAACAGTGTAAGAGGGTGGGCATTATCTGCTTCTTTTGACTCTGATCCTGTTGCCTATGTAAAGCAGCCAAGCAGAATTTGCTTAACGGAGGGTCTCTGGGCAAACAAATTTCTTTTGCAAAACAAATAATGCTAGAACTTAAATTAAAATTAATTTCTACAATAGTAGTGGAGTAATGTATCATACCCAATATGAGTTATGAAATAAATGCCCATTTGATGAACAAACATTTGGTTAATTACCTTCTGGGTTTTTTTCCCCCCTCACCTCTTTTAAAGACAACAAGGAATAGAAAAACTTTGATGGCTTATTTGGGGTCTTTTAGCATCCAACAGGCAATAGTTTACAATATATAATCTTCCTCCATGCATGTTCATTGATGTGAAATAGGTGTCATTAATTTCACCAGAAGTAGCGACTAATTGCCAACAAGTATTTCCTGTGCCCTATTTGGCTGTTATATGCACAGTATGACAAATAACACAGAATCTTTTCCCACTAATTACTTAAATCTCATGAAAAGGGTTTAGATTGCTCTTTGAAAACTGCCCAAGTAAATGTGTAAATAATTCTCTTTCATGACAATAATCTCAAGACTGATTCTATCATCTCCTCCACAGAAATCTAAGCAAGTTCAGGAGGACAGTTTACCTGCTACAAATATCAGCTGTTGGTATAATTTAAACTCCAGGGCAGAAGTATCTTGGTTACAGCAATAATTTTTTTGAAGGGTCTCCTTCAACTTTATCAGAATCAAACACAACTTTATCAGAATCATGCTGTCCAGGCAGTTTTTGGCCTTACACAGAAATGGTCTCATATGGAGTGAGCCATGAAAAAATTACTACTTATCTTTTTCAAAAAATTTGATATATATATGAAAAACCCAACAGCTGATTAGATTTCGAGTCTTCATTGTTTAGCTTTTGAGAATAAAACCTTACTGCCACTAAATTCAATGGTTTCCTGACAAATTGATTCTATAACAGGCTGGACAGGCAAGTTAAATCATTTTGCAGAGAGTATAACCTTGGACTGAAGCCCCAAAAGATTTTATACTTTAATAGGAATCTTTGATTCAGAAACTGGTTAAATTTCTTATTTAAAGTACATGTAGCACTGCAAGTGATTTGCAAAAGCCTAAGTTCCCAATAGGACTTCACATATTTCCGTGAGGATCTTCTAATTTAAATATGTAAATTCTTATTCCTCTTTACTCTTATGAACTGAAGAATTCTTAGCACAAAAGAAACCTGGACTCTGTTTTCCAACTGAGGATACAGCTAAATTATTGTCCAAATAGAGGATTTTCACTGTTGCCGTGGCAGCAGCCAGAAGAAAAACATTATTGGCTCCAGCTCACATTTCCTCAACAGACCACTTTTCCCCCAACCTCCAGACTGTTGTGGAATATCTGCATTTTGCTGAATTCTCCATAACAAACTAGCCTGATCTTCCAGATATACTTGAAAGGCACAGTAACATTTCACATACAAGTTCACACTGAAAAGTTTCATAAAGCCACGTTTACTAACCTCTAGAACCCCTGCTACCTCCATCAGAGGGATGAGTTCTGTCTTTACACAGTATGTCAGCTGCTTGGTAAGTTCTGTCAGCAAGGCTTTATAAACCCAGAATTCTTCCAATTCCTGCAGAGACAGAGATCACTAAAAATCAGATCTTAAATTCTGTATTTGGGGGACACTACTGATAAAAGCTCTGCTACGGCAACAAGTGCATATTTGGCTTTTGGACAGGGGAAGCACTGTTATTTCTAATTATCCTTTTAGCCAGTTGCAGAGTTGTGTTCAGCACTCCAGCTGAACATCCCAAAGTTGGGGCAGTTCTGAAGGACATGCAATGCATTATTTCAACAGAGGAAAGAAACCCAAGAGACCAAGACAACTCTTTTCCCGAGCTGACATTCCACAACCAGATGACCTTATTTCCAAGAGAAAGGTAAAACGGCCAAATATTTCACCAACAACACTGATCACTGCCCCATATAGTTTGTGCATTTTCACATTCTCAGTGCATTCTCTCACATTCTCAGTGAGAGAACAAAACTCCAGATTTTGCAAAACCAACCACAGAGGATTTATTTACATTCATGTAACACACTACCTCACAGAAGTGTAGAAGACAGGAGGCGAACGAGGCAGCAGAATTAAGGAGATTTTGCACATATCCTCGGGACATATTAAATTTCTCTGAAACGTTCCATATATTGGTCTCTTTCACCAGGGTATAAAGGACAAACGTCAGGTAGAGCCTGTTTACCACAGCACTGTCCACATTCTAGGAATAAAACAAGCTAAAATTCAGACCTCATATCAAACTGCAGATTTTCTTTTAGTACTGTAAGGAAATTCTTTTCATCTTTCTACTCCTTCACAGCCCTAAAACATTTCTATATTATACCCAAAGACATTTAACATTAAGAAAACCAAGCAATGAGGTTAAAAGAACTTTAATAATTAGAACAGTAATAGGGAACACTAGCAGAAAAATAGTCTAGAATTTGTAAATAATCAAATAAAATTACTAAACAGTCATCTTAGGTATGAGAAATCTCCAGCCTACCTTTCTGATGGCTTGACCAGAAGCCTTTTTTGTAATAAAGCTTTCAGGCACTCCCACAATATCTGCTACTTTTTGCTCTGCTGCACTTAGCTGGTTGAACTAAAACAAGATTTCACAAAGAATTTTCCGATGTTTAGTTCTCTTAATGTTATAGAAAAACGTGTACTATTTACAGTGAAAGAATGTTTTTCAGTATCTCTACAGAGTACTTCATCACTGGACTAGTACTGTAGTCACTAGACAGTCAGATCTGTAGTCTCTTTTCCCACCTCTCTGAATTATCTGTAAATGCCCATTTCTGAATGCTTCACTAAAAAATAAATGAATAAATTTTAGTGCTCCCCCAGTACACAACACTTTACAGAAAGCAGAATAGTTGAATTATGGGTGGATCTTACAAAGCATGCAAGACTAGAATGAGGGCAGTGCTGCTAAGGCTGACACAAATGTAGTCTGTAGGAAAAGTATTGGCCACAGTGTAATAGTTACAGTCATGGCTGGAGTTTAGTATTAGACTCATCATTAGACATATCAAAAAATGGTTAAATCTCTAGTGGATTCTGCTCCTTAAATTACACATATAAATGAATGCTCATCAGAAGGAAGACATGGCTCTTGATTAATTTAATAGTGGTTTTCTTGCAGGATGACAGTGATGTGGCTACATATAACTAGTTTATAGGAAAGTCTTGTTTAAGATAAACCAGACTTTGGCAATGGTAAGGCAAGCACCAAGGTTAGAGGTAGGATTTAGAGTACTGGCAACTCAAGAGATATGTTTCATGCCACTGTTTTCCCCAAACAGGGTCAAATATTATAAGTACAAAAGAGAACTTAGATTTTTATGCAGCACAGGAAAGCAGTTCTGCCCTGCCTCTGAAAATAAAACAACATATCTTGTCATTACATTGCTACCCTGCTAGCTACATTTCCTATGCATACAAACTCACAGCAAATTTAATAAGCAGGATTGTTCTATGTCCCAATGCATGTTTGCTAGCAAATTCTCACCTGTCTCAAGTATATCATCCAATCTGGGCTACAGCTAGAAGTCACATCATAAGGAGTTGCCAGATATAGGAGATGAAGATTGCTCTCAAGAATTAGCCCCTCCAAACCTTTCTTCAAGTCCCTGTACAGAAGATTGCAGTATGCCACGTCTATAGATCCTAGAATAAGTACAGAGTGTATTGCAATTATAAACAGGCACGCAGTCAAGTGCAATAGATTTTAACATAGTCAATATTATCTTTATCTTCCACAAAACCTTGTTATGCCATCTGAATTGAGGAGAAATAACCTGCAACCTGAATAATTGTTCTAACCTAACATGAGCAGTGAAACAAAACTGAGGAAAGGTAGCCACCTATTTCCATGTCTGTCTGTTCTGTGTGGTAGACTGAAGGAACCTTTCAGATTCATCTTACTCCAGTTGTGTTCCATACCCCAAAATCTTTATGCTATGCCAGGAAAACAGAACTTCCTGATACATTCTCTTCATTATTACAATTGGTTTACATGTCATATGCTCCTTTTCCATCTTAAGCTTCCCTCTAGTCAAGAAATCCCTTTGTTCACAATGACTGTTCATAACAATGAATTATAAAACAAGGTCCTGAGTACTTTGATCACAACCACTAAATCAAATCTTTAAGTAATTTTTTTAGGGGTACACTTCTGGTTTTGCTCCCACTGGGATCAATATTATTACACTTCATTCCCATCCCATTCAGTCATGTGCTACTTGTTCATTCCCATTTTCAGTTCAGCACATCATTCAGTAAAACTTCCTACAACTTATTTTTCGTTGCAGTTTCAGACTGAAGATGGGAAAAAGGACCAAACTGAGATAAGGTTGAAATGAAGGGTTTGTTGGAATACATATTAAAAGAAGAATAAAAATAGCCTCACCTTTATACGTAGCTTTTCCCAACGGTGTGATTGTTAGTGTACATTTGGAATTGTGGTCCTTCTCAGATATTCTTCCTTTTAGGAGTCCTTTTTCTATTAGATTTTCTAGTCCATCTTTAATTACCTCTGAGAGGCTCTTCTCTTTAGACAGCAGCTGCTGCTGAACACCCAGCAATGTACCGCACATAAAATTGTTGACCTCCTCACAGGTAACTGCTATCTGCAACAGTATTGGAAGTGATTAGCATATTGGAAGTTACAATTTCATAAGATATAGGAAAACATTTACCAAACAGAGAAGAATTTTGATATCCTGTTGATGTGTTTCTACAGAAACACACGACAACAAATAGCATGGATAGGCAGCCTATGGCGGATCTGATGGGACTGCTCTCCACCTGGTCTATTATTCGAGCTACTACATCATGTTAATTTGTTTCCACTGTTTCTATTTGAATCAAGTATCAGAAATAGAAATATTAATACTGTATTGTACAATAAGGTAGATACCATTTTTGCTTTTACACATAAGGAAACTGTCATATTACATGGTTTTATTTAACTCAGTTATTAATAAAGACTAATCAAACCTTTGCCCTTCTTATCTGATTGGAAGCTGTTCTGAAGTTTAAGAAGTCTGCTTTTTTTCTACAGAATCAACAGGTAACATTTTCTTCACATTTCCAAGCACTTAAGTTACTCACAGAGAAGAGTTAACTGATACCTTCAGTCCAACCAAAGACAACAACAGGCTCTGCATTCCCTTGGTCAACTCCAGCAGAAGATTGCTGTAACAATTCTCCAAAGGACTATTAACTAAATCCCGAACCTAAAAAGAGCAAGAAATGTACTTGTACAGGGGAAATATTTATGCATTAATTTTACACTTTAAAAAAACATGTGCATGATGTGCATGATTCAGCTCATAAAGAATGTAAGTGTAAACATCTAAATTTTACAGTTCAGATCTGAAAACAAATCACATAAAGGTCGTTTAAAGGTATTATTATATAAGCTAAATATTTGCAACATTAAGAAGTGAACAAAAATTAAGCTAGGCAGCCCAGCTCCTCCTGCTTATTCCACCAACTTAACACAACAACTTAAATTACCAATAGTTTTGTAAAAATTACCAAGTGTTTGTCTTTTTCTTGCACTATGAGAATACTTTCTCCAGCATCGTCAATACCAGCTCGACCAGCTCTGCCAATCATTTGTTTATACTGGTTCTTCTTCAGGAAGTCATTAGCAACATAAGGAGCTCTGAGAATAACCCTGTAAAGAAGCCTTTAATAAGTTATACTTTATACTCAAATTACTAAAGCAGCAATAAAATGATACAAATTCATTCTTTATATATGCTCCTTACCTAATAACTAATAAAAATCTACTGCACCTCTTTGAACAGATGCGTAAATTAGATGCAAAGAATTTAACAACTTAAGGTTTATTAAATGGTAAGCCATGTTCATTATGTTTTGCAGAACCTTTGAAACTGGTTTTTACATGTACTTAGGCCTGAGTTTAAGATGAAAATCACTGAGATATAAAATAAATCCTATAGAAAAAACATGCTCAACACTGACCATACATCAGTTATGCTAAAAAGACAACACTTGTCCATATGAATTTTGTTTCTCCCCTCAGAATTCCAACACACAGAAGTGGACTCTTAGCAAATAGTCTTTGGTCAGACAGATTACAGCAATCATATCATCAACACTTGTACATGAAAAGATAACGCATTTTTGTGTTGAAACTAACTTTTTGTGTTCAAACTAACTCCTTAAAAATATTTATTCTCCAATTTAAACACTGTTCTTAGGTTAAATTCTAAAGAAACCACTATACTCCTGAATAACATTAGTAAAATACTATAATATTTCTTCCATTTATTAACATTTCCTTATTCTATTTAGGTAAGTGCTCTTCAGCTATGCATTCTGAGGGACTTGCTACTGACTCACATTTCCTACATAAAAACTTTGCAGTCTTGTGTCCCAAGTTGAGCACAAAATCCCTTATATTTCCAGTTTGCTAGTAAAAGCAGAAACACACTTTAAATAGCACTGATATTTCCAACTTATTAAAGCATTTTTTTTTACAAAGTAAAAATCTATTTAAAAAAATGAAATATGTTTTGGTTATTAACCTTCTAGCTGGCAAGTTGACTCCAGCAGCCAGAGTAGCTGTGCAAGCAAGCAGACACAGGACACCTGAAGAATATGCTTCCTCTATGCTTTTTCTTTCATCATTTGTAAGGCCACTATGGTGATAGGCAATACCAAAAGGGATTGTTTGCTTCAGAACAGGACAGACACTTCCATTTCCAATACTCTTTAGGTTCTCGACGAGATCTTGTTTTTCTTTCTCCCTGTGAGCTCTAAATTCTCTTGGAGGAGGAAAAGTATTTCTTTAGACTTTGACCAACCATTAACTAAAAAAAAAAATAAAATTAAGAAACATGCTTACTGTCTATTTCTCTTCATTATCCACTCCTCTAACTTCTAGGTTGGAGAAATGGTTATTTTCAGTAATTTTAAAACAGCAATACACAGGACTGATTTAGTTGCAATAGAACTCTCTTCGTGTTTATAAGCACAGGCACAAAAGGGATCAAACATTTATTGATTGTGTGTGGGTATTAAATGCACCAAAGAAAGGAAATAGGGCCAGTAGTGAAGATTATAGCTACATTTAAAAATTGTTTCAATTTTCATAGCAAGGGAGGGGGGTTGTTTATTTAATATAATTTCTTTCTACATAAAATTTACCTTTGCTAGACAATTATGAGTTGATCAAATCACATTTAAACGAAACTAAATCTAAGATTTACTTTCTTTTCTTTATTAACGAAGTCTAGTTTACATTTTAAAACTTAGATTCACAAAGTGGGTGAGGAACAGAGATACTGAAATGACTAATAAAATAACATACATGACCAAAGACAGGGCTATAGAGAAAAATGTTTGCTTTCTAAGCTTGCAGACACCAGTGCCAAAGGGATACAAAGTTAAATTATGTTTCCTTTTTTCTTTAGCGTTTGTCCTCTGATAACCATTTTTCAACTAATTTGGTTTAAAAGCAAGAATTTTTAAAAAAACCTTTTGTTTAATAAGCCTTTCACGGTTTGCTGTCACTTATGCAGTTAGCAACTTCATATGATTCCACAGTCAGAGTATTTACTTCTAATCCCCAGGGAAAGTCACTTGTGAACTAGTGACAATAAATCCTTTATTCAGTATATATAATTTAAAAAAAAAAAACCATCACATACACTTACTTCTTGAGGTACTTGCACACCATTGAAGCCACATTTTCACAATTCTTTTTGGTGGGACAAAAGACTAGGCAGGAATAATTAGGAATAACTTCAGTCACCAGTGCAATGATGTGGTCAGGATCCGCTTTCTCCAGACAACTAGAATACTACAATAAAGACGGAATTTCTAAGTTTAAATATTTGTTAATAAGTCATAACCTAAGTATGCAATACTAAGTAATACTTGTTCTCAACCTTTGCTAGAATACACCCATTTAATTTAATGTGGCATAATTGCAAGAAGTTGAACGATAAGCTTTTCTCCCAATTCTCACTTGAAAGAGTTTATTAACATATCTAGCTTGGACTCAGGGATACAAGGGTGGACAAATCAAATTCTTCTCTTTTTCCTCTTAATACTTCATTTTCTTTTAGCAACACCATAGAAATACTGTGATACTGGCAGTCTACCATTCGACACATTTTTCTTTGTAAAGGTTGAAATGAATCCCTACAAGCCAGCAATAAGCTGGAAACCCCCCCAAAAAGTATCTTCTTTCAGTACTGTCTTAAGTGATGAACCATTGAGAAAATCTACCCCAAAACATAAAGCATTGGGTATCTGGAATACTCAAAACCATTACTCTCCACAGGTCAAAATACTGAAGAAACTTCTACCTCAAAGAGTGAAAATAAAGTGAAAATCAAGTTAAGTGTTCAGTATTTTAAGGCCTTTTTCGTCCCCAAAGCTCACCATTTTCTTTCTCACAGGTACTACAAACGAACTATAATGTTTAAGCAATTTCTCTAGTAAAAAGCCTATTAAAAATAATCAATGTATAATAATACATTTCATAAAAGCAGTTCAAAGAAACTATAAGCACTTTGGTTTTTACCTTGAAATTAAGGAGACGTGAAAACGTAAAGCCATTTTCTGTTTTGCTGTCAACTGCATAAATGGTGTCTCGTATCTTCACATACTCCTTTAATTCTACCTAGCAGATAGAAGCCATGAACAGAAACTTTAATTAAATTACTAAGTTTTCTCTCAAGCTATTGCTTATGTACAGCTAAAGCTTTTTTCTAAGCATCACATGACATGTACGTACTCACACACAAGCACACACTTCACCCCATCAAGAATTTTTTAGATAATTGTTTTAATTATCTGCCTTGATAAGGCACTGAATCATGATGAAGAATGATAAATACAGTATCCCATGAACTATTAAAAACCACTGTCCTGACAGCATACAAGCACCAGTAATAGAGATTCTAGTTACATCAAAAGAACTGATTTATCACAGTAGCTGTAATTTAGAAATTGGTTTAGTTAAAATGACACAAATGTCTTAACAGGACAATATAAAGGTTACTACATTTGTGCATTTTAAAATGCCTAGTGAAATTTATTGTATTGGTAACAACTGCAAGCAATAGAACAGATTATATTACACTATACAGTAAAATTAAGCAAAAAAGCTGTGATACAATCCTAAACAGATTTACTGTAACTTTAAAGCCAAATATCTTCTTTACTAGTCTATGGTATCTTGCATACAGACCGGTCTAAAATTATTGGTGTAGTATTCTGCTCGCAGGAACTTCTGCAGGTCTCCAACATTATTCAACGTTGCACTCATTCCAATGATTTGTGTGTTTTCTGTAGAACAGAAGTTGAGATGAATTTATTGTCACATGACCAACTTTTAACACTTTTGCTCAGTAATTAATTCATAGGCCTGCTTCTTCATCATTATTCTTTTGTAAATGCCGAAGTAGACAGATTAAAGGGGGATCTAGGCTAAGAAATACTACTTGAGATGTAAAAAAAGAGCATTTAATTGGAATGGTTAGGGGCTCCTACAAAGAAATGGAAGACAATTGACAATACTCAGGATTTTGCAGAGAAGTATCAAAAAAGTTTCAAGAATACCCAGCCCATCGTTAGAGGGTCAATGAACATCATTACTGCATGGAGTCATGGCATGTTTTTCAAAAGCAGCCAGAACACCATAAATCCAGAAAGCAAAAGCATGACTCCCCTCTAGAGATGCCATCACCACAATATGTTAATAACATTAACTGCAGCCATGACTTACTACTGGTGTAAAGGATTTTCGCAAGAGTAATTTCCAGTATCGCTCCACGACTTCCCTCACCAAGCATATGCAGCTGTGCACAGAAGAGAAAAAGAAAATGCAAGAATGCTACTAAGAGTATTTCTAAAAAAAAAAAAAACAAAACCAAAAAACCAACCTAAACCACCCCCAACAAATATGTAGACCTAAACAAATACTACAGGATTCTTTGTTGGACTTCCGCTTGTAAATTTTGACCGCTAAGCTCCTTCCAAAAGTACAACCTCAATGAAACAACATTTAAGAATCAAGACCAAATGTAGACAAGATCTACCTTCCAACTAACTAGACCATAATTGACCCAAACAGTTAACTCCTGACAGTAAAAAGTCAGTGCGGAGATTTTTGTATTCACCAGTCAAAAGCAATTTTCAACAAAATGCATTTTAAACAACACTGAGAGCAGAAAAATTTCTAGTAGGCAGCTCCCAGAAAGAGTAGAATTAAATGCTACAGCTGTCTTCTGTTTAGAAGCTCCTGTGCTAAAGTAAGGTCAGTCAGCCTGAGGCATTCCATGAATTAAACAGCCTCCCTACACATGTTATTTAACCCCACAATCAACCCTTAGTAGCACAACTCAGCCACACCACTAAAAAGCAGAATAAAGGGCAATTCTCACAGCCAAATGTTACTTGATATTTTTCTTTTTTTTCTTTTAATGTTCCATTGAGTTGTTGTTAATACCAGTCACAAAGTCACATGGTTTCACACTTAGGAGCTAAGTTCTGGGTTTCATAAAATACATTCCATACAACTAAAATGATTTATGCTTTTTGGTAATCTGATACAGATGTCCAATTGACAAGTAGTTATTAAACAATTCACCACCAATCATTAACACTGTAAATCTCTCGATACAGAATCATCCTGATACAGCAACAAGTGCTTCAGTTAATGAAAAATAACTTTCAATATTACAGAATTATGTACCAATGCAGAAAAAAACTTAGTTAAGTAGTAGTAATTTCATGATGAACACTCAAAGCAATAAAAGAACCACTGTTTGCTAATTATATTAGAAAAATATGAACAAACTGAGTAAGTCTTCTGTCATACCTCATCTACGACAACCAGACCAAGGTCACTGATCCTATCTGTTTCAATTAAGGAATTCACCAGAGCATGTCCTTTCTCTATGGTAGCAATATAAAGAGATTTTTTTACTCTCCTTTTGATTGGTGGAAATCTTCCTTTACTTCCTGCGTATTCTTCAACCAGGAAACCCAGTTCTACCCCAAAACTCGATAAACCCCTAATCTGTAAAGAAAAAAATCAGAGAACAAACACATGCTCATTTTGGATTTCAGAGCTGCCTCAAGAACTCAACATACAAATAATCAACCCACACCACAATCAACGGCTTGAATTACTGAAAACATATTAGCTATGACTACCTATGCCAGCTGCAAAACTGAAGTGTCTGCACATATTATCAGGTTGTGTTTCATCTGTTTTCTAAAACTAACTTTCCCTTTACACCAAAAGTGATAGCTTTTATTTCAAGACCATTTCTTTAGCGAGTTGGACAGCTCAGCTCTTGGGCTGCAGAACTATACAAAACATCGAAAAAGCACAATTATTTCAAAATTCACTTTATATATAAATACATGTATATAAAATTTACTTTACAACTCAGCATCCTCACCTCACAATTTATGACTGTTCCATTACAAAATTACTGACCCTCAGAACAGTATCTAGGAGGGGTCACTCACTTCACTCACTTCCCACCATATATTCATAAAAATCATGGAGCTTGCTGAAAACCAGCCAAGCGACAAGGTAACGAAACATATCAGAAAATATAAGTATCAAACAAAGCAGTATCAGAAACACTGTATCCAGACCTTTTCTTGGACAATGGCAACATATGGCAGGATCATCAGAACATCCTTCTGCCTGCAGAGTAGTTCTTGGAGAATCATTATTTCAGCTACCAATGTTTTTCCACCACTGGTTGGCAACGAGTATATTAAGTTCTTTCTTTGCTGTAGAGAGTCTAACATTAAGCAATCATGCTGCCACTCTGAAAAATCAAAAAGGAACTATTAGCAATCCCAGGGGCATGTTAGCCAATAGCACAATGCCTGCATTTCCCACGGAATACTTTAAGCCCAGTGTTTGAGGATTTTTCCTCAATAAACCACTAGAAGTCTTCAGTAGTGAAGCCTTCAACAGTATATTCTATAAGCCATATAAACCTTTTTCACCCACCTAAAACACCAAGAAAGCCATTTACAAAACCAAAACAACTATTTTCCAACACAGTTTACATCAAAAAATTACCTTAAATATTTTTATAGGGTAATGGGTGAAAGAGACAACACTCCATTAGCAATTTTTTTCCAACAAACCATTAGTTACACTACCATAAAGTGTTTCAATCCCTCGAAGTTGTCTGAATAAATCTTTAACTTTGCTAGGTAATCCATAAAAAGGGCCTATATCAACAGAAGAAGATTCAATAGCTTTCCTAGCAACAAAAATCTCTTCAGATAAAACAGCTTCTTTAAGCTGCTTGGTCTTAGAGACCTGCAGAGTCTGGGCTTTGGCATTCCCAGTCATAGCACTTTTTAGGTGATCTTTAAGACTCTCAGTTTTCAATAAAACACACTTGGAGTCTGAGGAAAAGTCCATAGGTCTGTTCCTGTGTTCAGCACAATAAGACAACGGGCTCCTGATTTTGTTCGAGGAAGAATTCACACATTCACTCCTCTCTTTTGAGTCTGGCGATGTCCTAAAAGCAGAAGAAAGTTCATCCATTTTCTCAAAATACAAAAGTTGCGATGATGGCAAGTCGTCGAAAAGAGATTCAGCTGGTTCTCTACTGCCATCCACCAGGTCTCTGTCCTGCACTTGGCAAGCACCCTCTTTGTCAGCTTTAAGGACAGATGCTTTTTCTGAAGCAGAGAAGTTGTCTTGTTTTTTCTGGTGAATTCCTGACTGAAGATTCCCAACTGTGATTTCTCTAGCTGCTTTCACATCCATGTTTTTATCCTGCAGGTACTTGTGTTCGATGTCATCCACTTGAGCTAGCAAAGAATCATTTCCACAGAAGCTGTCATAGTCACCAAACATGTCTTCCTCACTATCGTTACAGCACTGTAAAACCAGAACAGCGAGCATCAATACTCTGAAGCAACGCCACAGGAGGCAGCATAACTTGTGCAGCACGCACATCAGATGCAAATAATCTAGGTCTTCCCCAGCTTAAAAGAAAATTGTCTTTTCTGATATTGTCTGTGGGGGAAACCCAGGTCGAGTTCTAAACGAACACACACCTTGACTCAGTGAAACCAAACTTACAAGCAGGATGGATGCCTGCACAGAGAGTTGATGGAGATGAGCTTTTTTAAAGGTAAAGCCAAACGGGATCATCCCCTCTCGTACAAAGCACGGCCCTTCCCGACACACGCCACGCAGGCTCGGTCTGGGACATTCCACGCTCCCAGATGGAGCTCCCCCGCCCCGATACCAGCCCTAGGACCCCGCCATCCCCTACCGGGGGCTCCGCCGGCGGTGGCCCCTCGCCACCAGAGCTCGGTCTCTTGGGAACCACCGGCGAGCTGGCGGCGCTGGGCTGCACCGTGGCGTGGCTCCTCTTGCGCTCCGAGCTGGGCGGCTCTTCCTCCGCAACGCGCGAGGCCGGGCTCGCCCATGCCCCGGTCCCAGCCCAGCCGCCGCCCTGCGGCCGGGGCTACGCGGGCCGTCACGGCCCGGCGGGACAGGACGAGGGACACCAGGCGCGCGGGCAAAGTACGACCGCCATGAAGCGGGAGCGGGCACTTCCCGGCAACAAACCCACCGCGACAAGTCACGTGACAACGCGACGGCCAATCGCCTGCCCAAGCGGGGCAGGCCGCTCGCCATTGGCCGGCGGGCGGCAGTGACGCACGGGCGGAAGCGGCCGTGCGCGGGTATCATGGCGGCGCGGCCGGTCGGCCCAGAGTTACTTGGCGGCGCCTGGTTCCCGGTGCGTCCCTTTCGCTCCCTCCTCCCCCCGTTCCTCACTCCCCCGTCCCACCGCGCCGCCGCTAACCCTGTCACTCTCTCTCTTGCAGCGGCGCTGTGGGCGCGCCCGCGCCGCCTGCAGCACGAGGGGCAGCCCCAGGCGCAACCCGAGCACCCCGACCAGGTGAGGCTCCCCCGAACCCCCCGTCCCGCCGCCCACCCTGCGCAGGAGGGGCTTCGGCCGGGCTGAAAAAGCCCGATTCTCCGTTTTCAGCCGTGTCTGAAAAGGCTTTGCCCTGGTGGCTACGGATCCGTTGTGTTACAGAACAGGAGGTCACTGGGTGCTGAGAGTTACGGCACCATTGACCTGTATTTCAGTATTCTAACTATAGTCCTTAAACCTGCTGCCTCAGTAACCCGAATGTGGAGCAAAAGCTTTGGTAGCACCAGCTAGTTTCCTCTCTATAGCTGAGGAAAAGACTTAAGAGAGTGCACTAGGTTTACATTAAAAAAATATGTGGGTTTTGGCACCAGCAAAAACTTCTTGAAATATTCCTTCTCTGCCCAAATTCTACCTGTGCCTGCAAAGTGCATATAAATACCTCAAAGGCAGGTGCCCAGAGGATGGTGCCAGACCTTTTTTGGTTGTGCCCAGTGACTGGACAAGGAGCAGTAGCCATAAACTGAAACACAAGAAGTTCCACCTCAGCATGAGGAAGAACTTCTGTACACTGAGGGTGGCAGAGCACTGGAACAGGCTGCCACAACAGGGTGGTTGTAGAGTCTCCCTTTCTGGAGACATTCCAAACCCACCTGGATGGCAATCCTGTGCAATAGGATGACCCTGCCTTGGCAGGGGTGTTGGACTGGATGATCTCCAAAGCTCCCTTCCAAACCTGACAATTCTGTGATTTCTTGCGAGGATTTGGTGTTGGGTGTATTCTGAAGCTTGAGGAGCCTTTCAGTCCTTGGAAATCTCTCTTTAAAGTGTGTGAGCAGACAGGAGCTCCCTCAGGCCACTTGCTTTGAAATTCTTTTCAAAAAAAGACTCTTGTGACTTATCAGACAGAGCCACCTCACTACCAGCTTCTGCAGATATTGACTTCTTAGTAACAGGTGTAAGGACCATCTCACTGAATGCTTTAATAGACTTGTTACAGTATCATTATTACTAAAATATAAAAGGCTGTTTACCTGTGAGAAGTCTTTTAGACGGCTCTGTACCAATCAGTGTGTTAGGGAAACAGAGTTAGGGAAGTTATTTAAAAACTTCAGTGGTGCCCTAAATATCTCTTTTGGTTTCAAGGTATATCTTGCCTGAAGGATTCAAAGTAACAAATGTTCTTTATTTTCTGGTGAAGCTTAAAGATGTTAAAAATTCTCTAATTTCAGCCTATACAAATGGAGAACCCTTATAAGGAGCCTCCAAAAAGATGTATCTTATGTAAAATAAATGTGGACTACAAGAATGTGCAGGTGAGTGAAAACTCATGTCCTCGGATGAAGGTAAGTGGTTTATGATATTTAAATGTGTGTGTCAGAAGTCCACAAGAACTGAAAACAAAAAACCAAAAAACCCCCCCAAACATAAAAATCCATTCATATGTGTAGGGGTTTAAAAGTTGAAAATGTGTGCAGATTAAGGGTCAAATAATGTAGTTATAAGCTGATCAAGCTACTAGTTCTGTGTGTTAGTGTGACAATTTTGTCATTTACCAAATAAAAGTCCTTGGTTACAATCCATCTGTCATACAGCTTAAATGTTATGCCATAGAAAATACTGTTTAGTTCCAAGCTCTACTTTTTCTTTAGGTAGAACTGTGTTTTGTAAAAACAGATGGGGAAAAAAAAAGAAAAACAGAGGGCAAGTAGTAACATAAACATCCAAAAAAAGTTCTTAAACTGACTTTGATTTTCTTATTTTTAAGTAGCTTCTTTCCCAGTTTGTTTCTCCTTATACTGGCTGCATTTATGGCAGACATATAACAGGTATGTGAAGTATTAAATTAAAAATTTACTGGTTAATATTCATGTTCTTCTAAGTAACTGTGCATCAGCAATCTTTCCAAAAGTAACTGCTACCAACTCTATACGTTTTGTAAGAGTATTCCTCTGACTAAGTAGCCTGCATCAAGGAATAAAAATATCCCTTAATTATATGCATTTTGTGTGTAACAGTAAAAGCACATGTGCATTTTTCTAGGAAGACTAGACAAAGATAGAGGGAATTATCAGTAATATCCCTTTCACCCTTTAGACTAATGGCTTGTTTAGTGTTGAAAATAATTCATCTCTTTAGGCTTGTGCCACAAGAAGCAGAGGGAAGTTACAAAAGCCATTAGAAGAGCTCAAGTACTTGGTAAGTATGATTATGCTTCCGAGTTTTCTAAGGCAAGCTTACTTTTCTATTAAGAATACCTCCATCTTATCTTTTTACAGGATTTATGCCAGTTGTGCTTAAGAACCCACAATTTCTCACAGACCCCAAGATATGTAATATCAAGTATCCAGAGTAAAATGCTGTAAAGAAATAAACAATAAAACTGTGTTTCATGTTCATATACTTGCTTACTGGAAATGTGGTTTTCTGGCATAGTGCGTGGTTGACTGAGGGGTGGATGTCAGTTGGATTTTTATTAATTTTATGAAGTCTCTAAAATTTATTGTCTGAAGGAAGTATGAAATATTAAGGCAGTAAGAGAAACTGGCAGCTTTCTGGACCCCTTTCTGAGCTCACAGGTCTTGTTAAACTTTAGGTGGCTGTTTTTTATCCTCTCTGGATGGTAAGATGGGGGGAAATGAACAAGTACTGGTTTCCTAAGGATAAATTAAAAGTATTTAAAATGTGGCAGTTCAAGTAGACTGCTAATTCTAAGTTATCTGTGTTCATTTGGTGCTGCCTGCATCAGCTTCTGCTGAGGAAAGGATAGTACTGCTTCTTCTACAGCAGCTTGAAGTTGTATTAGTTTGAGGCAGTATGTGCTTATTTGACTGCTGGCATAGTCTTTAAACCCTGAGAGAGAGACTACAGATGGAACTCTGGAAGGCAAAATGAGGGAATGTCATCTGGACATTGTTATGCTGAACAGGATTCATGCACTGGACAGAAACCCCAAACAAACCCTGTACATTTTGCAAAAATGGATTAAGTTATATACATCCCTGCAGTGCTGAAAATTGACACATCACTTGAATATGCTGGCAGTAGCTTTTGGTGTGAAGTCATCTGACAAATCATTAACAGCTCAGAAAGTAGGAGAGTGTGGGTATTCATTTGTGTCTCTATTTTTTTCCAACACATCCTCGTCTGATTCAGTGCTGCTCAGTGTAAGCTTCCTGTCCTGGTCACTGTCCTCTGGGTCTGCAAGTGATTCTCGGTGAAGCTGCAATGATCTGGATTTCTTGAATGACTTTGATACTGTTGTGGTCCCTCTGACTTTACGCTTGGTTAGATGTCTTGTTTCAGCTTCAGTGAAGTCTCTTTCCTCTACCATGAGAGTCAGTTTGTCCGTGACATTAATATTATGGTTAATGTTACAGCAGTTCTTGGATATCTGTTGGCCTTTGAAGGAAACAATACATGTCTGAAGTCCAGAATTGGGGAAAAATGTTTGCAGTGCCTGACAAAGGAGAACATTCTCCTTTGGCTCTCCTGTGTAGTTTCTGTCTTCTCCTGGGGGGAAAAAAAAAAGTTACAGTTGCAAAACATCTTGCACAC